ATAGCTATGCCATCAGGCGCACGTTACAGAGAATTTGAGTTAGCGAAGGCATGAATAGGTACCATTCATATGAGCGTTAGGATTTACCTGCTTTCCGTGAGAAATTTCACCATTGGATCTGCTCAATAACGCCAAATGCGTACACATCCATCAGAACGACGCAAGTACAAGTCTCACGTGCTTTTAATACCTAGTGAGACATGCTAAAGAGAGAAGGTTCCTGTTGAGGAGTAAACCAAATAGTTTTTTTTTGTTGAGCATGCTTATTTTTATTTGTCAGTAAAGCACTATCTTAAATCTGTGCCTTGTGCACCATTTGCACCATCAATTGCACACACATATCATACCATTCTTCTAAATATGCTATGAACGCTTTTGTACAAACCAACTACTGAACTTTCCATTTTCTCACAATCTCTATACTTTTTATGACATTTCAACATCATCTGCTGGCTTCTTTCTTGTTGCAGAGCGCTTCCATTCTTCAATGCGACGTTTCAAATCAGGATCTACCAATGTGGAAGAAAGCAGCTGAGAAGAAAAGGGGGCAAAAATGGCCAGCGCCACGACAGATGTATGTGTAATATACACAAGAAACATCTCACAAACATACCAGGCTTAACTTGATCAATCGTAAGTGGCTGTCGATTGAATGGATCATGTGGATCAGACAACAAGTGTGTTTTGATAGTCGACAAATCCACATGTACACCAGATGGCAACTCAACAGGTTCTTCCATAACATGGAATAGCAATTGATCAAGGAATTCATCAGGAGCTTCACCGAGCTCTTCGTCTGCTTGTGCAGTATCTTTTATTGCCTTTTCCACCTTGTCGATAAAGTCGTAGAGTGCTTGTACGTCCGTCTACAAAATACAAAGGAATGTTACTTCGATCTTTTTTTGCGCATCGCCATCGTTGAATTTTCGTGGCTTACATCACTCTTCAATCCATTTTTGAGCATGATTTGACCAGCCTTGATGAATGATTCCTTCTTGTAAGATCGCTCATCGCGACTCACAGCCATAACAAATTCCGGTCGATGGGCCAGATGCATGTAAATTTCTACCAGCTTGGTAAGTAAATTCTTCGGATTGAATCGATACTTTTCTGGATTTCGGACCTATGTTAAATGGGACTGTTAGCAGAGGAAACAAAAATACAGAGCAAACCAATTTTGGTTATCAGCCAAATTACCTTCAACTCTTGACTTTTGGGCCCAACCAAAGTCTCCAAATTGTAATCCAACATGGCAGCCAGCCGGTCCGCTATACCAGGCTCCATAAAGGGCTGTACGATATCGGGCTCCGCAGTCATATACTGCAACATATTGACTGTCTCAACACCTAATGCCATATACGACTGTGCTTGTCGTTCATATTGCGATAATGTACCCTCTCGTTCCTGTCGTTGTTGATCGGGTTGAGCAGCCCATGTTGCGGTATCTGCCATGGCGTTTTGGAGGGAATGGATTTCGGCTAGTTTGGATAGGGACTCGTCGAGGAGATATGTTGTATCGTTCATCAAGAGATTGATGAACTTGACAAAGAAGTCCACGTCACTATGAAGAGAAGCAACATGTGTTGGAAACAATGACGGGATGCGAGATGCGAACGGTCTTCTTTTTTTAAAATGACTTACCGACTAAGCTCAACTACTTTCATTCGCTGACCACCATCATTCCAGATGATTTTCATGATTTGAGATACGTGATATCTTATGTTGAACTTGTCATAGAATTGAGAATGCATGCCCGTTTGTTCCACATCTAGGTTTGCACTAATCGTTAGCGAAAACGATCTCCCTGAAAATGATGAAATATTCCTACCACAGTAGAATCTCAACAAGCTCGACACCAGATACTGTTGAGCAAGTGGATGTGTGCAAAACACATCATCCAATCGACCTGCACTACGACCATCAGCATACCGGTACAATGGAAAGGTGAAGAAGTACAATATCTAAAGGCAAGAATATCAGATTCCAATCTCGTACATCAATGTTTTAACCAACAGACCTCAACAAGCTTGCTTTTGAGGTATGGATTCTTGAAATATGTAGGGTTTTGTAAAATGAGCATGGTAAATGTCAATAATTCATCACGAGGGTTGTTTTCAAAGGTTTGAGGTTTGGTACTGCAGCAGGGAGATAGTGGTCAAAAAATGTAAAACGCAGCCACGCAACAATCACTGTTTAGCATGCAGCGTCACGTACCGGCAAATGAAAGTAAAGAATTCACATATATCATCCACAATCCATTCCGGCAATGTCGCAAACAAGACTGGAGTGGTGTCTGATGGTATGGGCATCATTTTCAGACTATTGTAGAAAACAAAGCCCAAGTCAGACAAGCCAAACAACCTCAACTCTCTGTGAGTTAATTACCCTTGCACATCTCCTCTCAACAACCCACTCCACGAAACAGAATCCGACGCTTTGCCTTGTGGTGCCTTGATGACTCCAGCACCCAACAACAAGACACGAATCAACCATGTCATGACCAGATTATAAAATCGGACCGTGCTACCAATAAGTGCTGGGTCCAATAATCCCGCATCAAGACTCAGCTTGGTAGCAATCAGACCGTCCAGTTGTGTCTACAACAGAGGGAAAAGATTTGTTATCTCAACTATCGAATAGCGGATTATAGTTTTTTTTGGCATGCATACCGTATATCTCGTAAACATGATCTCATTCATACGAGCCATAGGTCCTTGCCACGTCGGCCTCTGAGCTCTCAAACCATCCAACTGCTTGGCAAAATCATCAATCTGTTTCAACAGATTTCCATAATTTCGTATAGCACTCAAATATCCATAATGTTGAGCAGCTAAAGTCAAATAAAACACATCTGATATAAAGTTAGCGGTTGGTAGCGTTGTTTGCGTTGATCTCCAAGTGTTGAAGTATTCTTCAGCAGTGGCTGTGTCGGAATTTATTCGAGTATGGTCGGCAATGTTTATTCGTTTGCTATATTTGAAGTAGTCTACATCGATGAGATGGACTTTGGAATAGTGAGAGTCGATGAATCCTTCAGACATTCGTAATAAGACGGAAAGAATGTTGCATATAAAGCCATCTGTGGATACTGTTTGGCGATCCACCTAAAGTAAACAAAAAACAAATAAGTCACGTAGAGAATGGCTAAATCCGAACCTGGTATCGAAAATGCTTTACCCTCATCTTTCCACGAGCTGAATTACTATTGATGGCATCTGCAAAATACTGCAACACGGCTTCCTTTGAATCAGGTCCACTTGAACCTGCTTTAGGAGCAGCTTTTACTATTGACATTATGATTTCGTGCAGGTTTTTCTACGAGTTGATCGGTTACGCAATTGCTGAAGTGCAAAAGAGTAAGAGGTAACTCTCGAATGATGACACTTACGGTCAAAGTAGTCGACATATCCCTTAGCGCCTTCTGTGCAGTCTTGATATCACCAGGCATTCTCATTCCAACAGGAAAGTTATCCATTTCACGACCACCAGCATTTATTGGTTGGTATGGACCTGAATCTGGGAAGTAGGTGGTAGCTAGAGCTGGATCCACGTCTGGAAGAATGGATGTTCGTGATAAAAATGGTCCTAATAATGTTATGATTTCAAATGTTCGAGCCATAGTTCCTGGTGGATTCCAGCTCGGTAGTTTCGTAAGCTGAAAAGATGGGAGGGCACTGTGAGCAAAAAAACCGGACCTGTAGCGACATTCCAATTGACTTACAGTTCTTGCAATCACCGGTATTTCCACTAATGTACGTAGTGCCTATCATTGAAATGGGCAGACGTGAGGTTCATTCTGCTTCCTACGAGATAATGTCTCCTACTCGTAATGGGGTGTTGACATCCTTGGACACGTTTTGCGTTCGGGTGTATGCAGTAAGACTCGCCATGACAGGAGCCAGTGTCTATATCATGCAACAGTATGAGGTAAAAATCGGCTACAACGAAATGATTCATCTGATACAACCATATACCTCTTCCAAACCATCCTCTTCGAATTTGGTAGCAAACTCTGCAAGAAAAGCAGGTGGCAACTGATCTTCAGAGTCATCTGCATTCTGTAGTAATAATTTATCTGCTAGATATGAGGCTCCCTTTGCACTAATCCTATCATTGTGGGTGTAAGAGACCAGCGAAAAAAAAATACGGAAGATCAACTTATATACTCACTCTTCAGTCTGAGGAAAACTATCAGCCATCTCCGGATTAACAACCAAGGAAGCAAAATTCAAAATCAAATCACGTATCGAATCAACTACTTTGGTTCTTGCGTCTACGAGTTTACTAGCTTCTGGTGATGATTTCGACCATGCTTCCATCTTTTTACGGACTTGAGTGACTCGCTTCCATGCTCCGATGAGGTAATCGACAAGTGGTATAGCACCTGGATTCGAGTTTTCTGGTAGTGATAAACGAGCGTGTATGATGCTATCCTTGATCGAGTCTTTGAATGTGAGGGGTGATCCGTCCATTTGGAGTTCACTGGCTAGAGCTGATAGATATGTGTATTTTTGCTTTTCAGCTGCTGCTTTCTAATAGCGATTGGGCAAAAAAGAGGTCAGTCCCAACGCTGGATCAACATAGGATTCCAAGGTACAAATGACTTTACGTTGAGTGTAGCCTGGAAGATGAATTCCAACGTGACATTCTCCCATTCAGGATCCGATTGTGATAAGAAAGTAGTCAATTGCTTGTTCGGAGCAGCAGCTGAAGCGGAAGGGGTGGAAGGTCTTGAAGACGAGGAGTTTGGACTTATGGTAATCGCTGATGCGGTTATGGGGGTAGGAGTAGCAGGCTAATAATAATTGTAGAATGTGTCAAATAGAGTCATTGATATACGACTTTGGATCATTGGTATTGGCAGACCTTTTGAATCTTGATGGGAGATGCTGATGTGGGATCAATGTCCATTTTGGAGGCACCTGCATTGCTGATTGGGAGAGCAGGAGTATTCGTGGTGGTAGGAGAAGAGGAAGACGCGTTGACAGCTCCTCCTAGTTTTGCCAATCGTTTCAGGCGAATCTAGTTTGTAATAAATGCATTTCAATGTCAATGCCGGAATTCTTGACAAGCACTGTCAAACTTGAGACATAGGAAATAAAGTAAATAATTGTAACTCATACCTTTTCGCTATCTGATATCTGGCTGTCTCCTTCCATCTTTGCAGTCGAGTTCAAGCTTTTATTGAGTTCAGTTTGACGGTTCCAGTAACACGTCCTTACAGATATGGAATCGGTAGATTTACGCGTATTCAAATGAATCGTTCCGTGTTTTAATTGATTTATATGTTACTTTACCAAACAAATCGTCCACAAATGAAATTCGCTCCAAGAATCAAACATTTATCTCGTAGTGTAGGCATCATCTCGTGCAAGGATGTATGGTAGCGACGAGACAAGTACGCTACGGCAGGCCATAAGAGATGGCAATCTCGTCGAGCTTAGACGCATTATTCAGCGGCGGAAACTGTCTGTCAGGTATGTTCCATATGTGACGATCTAGTCCAATGTCCTAGGAGCATGCACAATATTTAAAGCAATCTGACACGTTCTCTATATTTATAGGGCCCCGAACTTTGAAAACGGCTGGTAACGAATCGAGATCAACTTTTATCCACCTCGAGAAAACATACAACTGACAGAAAGTCACACTTTGACAATAGGCCGTTACTATTCTATGCAATATCTGCCAGTCAGAACGAAGTCGTGCGGTATCTTATGGATCATGGCCATGAAGCTGATGGGATATCAAGGGTACCTGAGCCTACGTTTTGACAATTCAAACACAAATCTGACACACGCAGCGTTCTGACTAGGACTTTGAGGGCAACACAGCCCTAATAATAGCTGCCCAGTACAAGAACGAAGAAGCCTTCCAGATCTATGTGGAACGGCATCCGACAGTCATTTCCCTGGCAAACAACAAAGGGCAAACAGCAATCATGGTGGCAGTCTCCAAGGACTTGGTCGAGATTGTGTCCATGCTGTTGGACGAGGGCGATGATGCTAATAGCGCTGACTCGGAAGGATCGACTTTACTACATCAGTAAGATCATACGTGGTTTTGATATATGGCGAAAAGAGATTCCTAGCACTGACAAATCACGACACCGCTTTTAGTGCTTCTGCTTGGGGTCAGGCAGACATGCTCCATCTGCTACTGAATCGTGGTGCTGCCCAGTCCATGAATGTCACAAACAAAAAGGGATGGAAGGCAATTGACTACTCATACACATCCGAAACACGAGATTACTTGATGGGTGAGCAAAAAAGCTACTATGGCTAGTCTATTAATTGCTTTTCAAACGATTCCTTAAAAACAGCGTTACTTACTCACAACAACATCAACAATAGAATGTGAACGTGCAATGTCCTCATCAAAACCCCTCCCACCACCACCAATACGAGTCGCTCAACCAGCTCCAGTAATACCGCTCCCATCAAGTACAAACACGGGAGCATCATCGGTACTATCACTCTCGCATCTAAGGTCACGAACAGCGACGGAAGAAGGATCACTACGAGACTTTTTCTCTGGAACCCTCACAAAGGAACGATCTAGAGCTGGAACAGAAGAGAGATTAAGTACTGCCAATCACGATACCACAAAGGAGGAACCTAATTCAAGGAAGAATGCGAATCTGAGGATACTCTTTTCGGCTCAGTAGTGTAGCAAAGTGATTCGTGAAAATAGACTTTTATATGTATATAATGTTCGCCGCCATGCTAAAACAGTATGTGTGTTGCGTTTGCTGATTTATATATTTGCAATGGCTCTCTCCCTTGCTTTCATATACACAAATTGTTATTTGGATTTACATGACCTATGCTTTGAAGCGTTATATCTTTAGGCACACTTTCTATGCGATTTTGTACCAGCTAAACGAGGTTGAATCATCCTTCACAACTCTCAAGACATACGCCCAAATGTTTACATCTGTGGAGAGGGCGGACATGATGTTGTCTTCAAGCAAGACACTCTGTGCCTGGGTCTTCGACCTGATACTGAGTCGATAGCCTTCCGCGACTGCCTTTATGTTTCGGGTCAATTTTTCAGAGACAGTCGAGAATGGCGGGTAAGCACTCGTAGATGATCACAAAGGATGACTGTAGGTTTGCCAGCAGGCTGACAACCAGTATCATTCGAACTAAAGTTCGTAGCAGTACTTTACAACCTTTACCGTCAAACTCATCTAAAACCTCCTCCTTCCACACACAAAGATTCTTCAGCGTTGACAATCCAGTGTATGTAGGTTCATATCAAACAAGTTGTATAATGTCCAGTCGTAATAGTTCTTTAGCAATGACTGTAAAGTGATGCAAAAACGAGATGCTTGCTTATTTTGTATGATTCAGGAGAATCCTTTCAACGCCATAGCATTCACAACATTCTTCAATGAAATGTCTCGGCTCTGTTGTGCATCTGACAACTTGTATAGCTAGTTCAACCAAAAATATAGATGAGCAACCCTTCCTCTTGCAATTTGTAACATGACCTGGCACCTTTTTTATCAGATCCGTATCACAACATTCGGCTAATTCAAATATCGAAGCTTGATTTCCTTGTATTAGAGAGTCAGCTACGTCCACGTCCTATATGATGTAAAAGACGTTACTAAACCATGCGCGAAAAGTTGGTGCAGTGTGTCGAGGATAAGCACCTCATCACTTGGTGCTTCATCACCAATAAACAAGAGAATCAGTGAAGATGTTGAATCTGAAACTCCAAATTGCTTCAGAGACTCTGTTATCTAAAGAAGATAGTCATTAATCCTTTGAGCAAAAAAGTGATTGACCATATCCGAATATGCGACTTCACACGTACATTTGAGCTCGGAGACATATTAAACAGTATTTCCGAGTATAACGAACGTGTCTTCATGGTGTCCTGCCTCTGAGCTAGCAAAGCACGTATGCAAGCTAGCTGAAGCTGAAAAATGTCGAGAACCTAGTACCAAATGTTGAACCGTTAGTTTCCATTCCAATAACAAGACGAATACATAATAAACAAATGAGTTTCATTACCATACGAGCATCGATTATGCATGATAAAGGCATAGTTCCTTTGATGATGGATTCACGAATGCGTCGTCCCTTCTTGACATTTCGATACAAGAAGAGATGCATCTTGGGGAGCGATTCTGTTAATGGAACCTTAGCTAATGGATGATCTGCTGCAGGCGGTGTAAATAGCGATGCCATTGGCACGCTCGTCATATTGGCACTGGTTGTCTTCGTCGTTGTCATTTTCTGTTGACTTTGCTTGAAGACGATAGCTATGCCATCAGGCGCACATCACAAATAGTGGAGTCCGAGAAGGCATGACTATGTACCATTCGTATGAACGTTAGCTTTTACGTGCTCACCGCCGCTAGATCTCCTAAACAAGCACCAACATTAAAAACCTACCTAAACTGTGAATCTAGTATTTGAGCCATGTTTGCTACACTGTGTGTATTACTACTCTCTTGTTCTAAACTAGATATTTATATGTCTTCTCTCTCTCCCTCTCGCACCAACCATCCTCCCGAAAAAACCAACCCTACCGATTCTGCTACCTTTCCCCTTAATACGATGAAATGATTGCAACAAACCCTATCTATAAACTCTCAAAGTCGACACCGTGTGATGCGTAGCAATTGACCAACGGATGAATAGGATGTGTTGATATTTGTTGTTGTTGTGGGGGGTTCAAATATTGCCGTAATCGAAAGATTTTCCGCATCGGCAGTTGATGATTGAGCATCCTCCGACTCGTTCAACCTAGCAAAAGTAAGAGCGACTGTTAGTCTCGGGGCAATACATTGTCCTTGATCATATTCGAGCTTACAAACTGCCCACAATTTGGACAAGCTCTCCACTTCTTCTTGGTACATAGGCTGATGAAGAGCTGATCATCCGTCAACTCATGATGAGCACAGGAGAATTTGCGTCGATTTTTGCAGATGGTGCAGAGACTGATGTGGCACTATGTGATGAGCGCAGTCAGTACTTTGGAATGATCAGATACTATATGAACCTGTGACGATGATTCCAATGCGACATGTTCATTCAAATGCAAATGATCAGCTATTCGTTTACCTCGGGACAGGTTATGACAAGAGAATTCGTGCAACGGTCGAGATTGATGAGAGTATTACAGCCTTTGCATCCTATGATTGCGATGAGGAATCATCAGCGTCATCATCATCGGCATCATGAGAACTCGGATTCATGTCTCTTCTATGTACACTCTTCCTGTACTCACGCATTGTATTTTCGGCAGCCATCTCTTCCAGATACTCCAAGTATTTGCTGAGATTGGGAGGAACCAATGCATCTTTCAATATATCCAATCGGATGGGATGATTGCAGCACTTTGCAGGCCCAGCCTTGTCTCGAATTACAATCTTGACAAGTTCGTTCAGACAGTGGATGCAATGCGTACATCCACATGCCAATGGCTTGATTGTCTCCGCTTCAACGTAGTAGAGACAAGATGTGCAACTCTTCAATGGTGCTCCTTTAAAGTAGTATGGCACATACACTGCCATCTTTGATAAAGGTTTGTATATGTTGATATCGGTTTGATGTGAGTAAGAGTTGGAGATGATTGTGGTTCGTTCTGACGTGTTGTTTGAGGCGTAGAAGAGAATTTATATGATATGATTTATATATAATATATGAGCGAACGGTTCGACCTCTGATGCCGGTTATTGTTTGAGTTTTCACATGTCAAATGGCACTTATAGTGGCTGAAGTGGCGATGAACGATGATTTTGATATTGGTGACGCGCTCCTCCTGAATCAGAAACGGTATTTTGCTATATTCGTCATTCTGTTATTCGCAACAAACAAAAGCATTTGCCAAGGCAGTTCCAGTCAAGTAACAAGTGGGAGTGTATTTTAGACAATTCAGTTGACGGGGAGTGCTCCTGGACATCTTCTCCTGTCGAACTAATCATATAGGTCATCCTGTATTCATTCTCTGCAAGGTACCAAGTGAACCATGTTCTCTGTTCATAGACCGACCATCCAAGCATGGCACCCTACAAGTTGCATTCGCTCATTTCTCTCCATTAATTAGCATATTTAATCGTAGAGAAACATCCCTTCCCCCGGCTCTGCCTCTTGTGGTATATAATTTCAACAATCAAAAAACAGCATTTTACCTCCTCTCCCAAACGCTTGACCGATACCACTCCAAACACAAATCATCATCATAATTATTGCCTTCTAGCTTGCTTGTAACAGTCATCACGTATCCCATACCGGAATCATGTTTTGGAGATTTGGGTTTAATACGGCATCCGCCATTGATGGTGTACTGGACAAGGAAAACGTAACTCTAGACGACCTGTTCGAGGAAGAAGAACTACTGCAGGAATGCAAGGCACAGAACGCCCGCCTTATCGACTTGTAAGCTACCCATATTATTACCAATTTGCGATTTCGTAACGGTCGACAGTGCGGTTTGCATGATATGCTGGAAGGGCAGACCCTTATTGATCTATCGGCGGATTGGTATGATGATTGACGGGATCGGGCACGTCATATGGCACCATATAGTATATCCAAAGATGGACATGAGTGATCTCCTCCTATTAGATCGACATTTTGACTGCAACGAATATACTAACAACGCGCGCCCTTCTCACTAGCTTATTAAGGCCAGACACACTCGCTCAGCTACTAAATTATACTACGGCAGAAGACTTAGAAGAAGCCAAAAAGTTTAAGTAAGGGTCCAACTGCAGCTTCTGTGAACCAATCAGCACATATCTCATTAACATCATCCGCTGAATTAGGTACCCATACATTGCATGTGAAGTTTTGGGCTGTGAAATATTCGCCATATGTGAAGCTATAGTATCAAATCAACAACTAATGACCGCTTTTTGGACTTTTCTGGATCGACCGGCCCCATTGAATCCATTATATGCCAGTTACTTTAGTAAAGTCAACAGCGTGTTGCTACAAAAGAAAACTGCAGATGTAAGTACCACCAAAAAAAGTCTATGAAAGTATGAAGGACGGAGACTGATTTATCTGTTTTCGTCCCTTTAGATGGTTGTGTTTATACGGCAACAACCAAACGTTGTCCAGAAACTGTTGATACATATTGGAACTTCCGCTATTGCTGATTTGATGCTGAAACTCATCAGCGTGGATGAATTAGCAGAGGGCGCTGGTGTTGTTGCTGTGCGTATGAGCCAATTAGTCTGCGAGGACTGCATTCGAATGCATTGAGTGATTTTTTGCTTTCTTGATAGTGGTTGAGTCAAGAGGGGTTGATTCCAACCTTGGTTAGCAGATTAGATCCTAAACTAGATACAGAGGTGTGTTTTGTCATCTGACATTCTGATGTCTTTTTGCATTTGAACCACGACTCAACGATTTTCTACCACAATATCAGATACATAATACAGCAGCGCAGACACTTCTTGACATTATTGCAGTCAGTTATCAGACCATGGCTCCACCTGATCAAATATCAGTCGATGCCATGAATCAGATGGGTGGAAATGTTTTGGTTGATGAGCTTAAAAAGTGAGCACTCAGCTCATTGTCATTACATCGTTCTGCAAAAACATATTAAAAATCTCTTTCTTTAGTGATGCCATGATGAACAAGATGGTTGGATATATGCTTGATGAATCATCCCCGAATGCTACTAGCAGCTTGACGAATGGTATTAATATTATTATTGAACTCATTCGGAGGTATTGCAGGTAATATCGTGTTCAAACATATCTGAATTTTTTTGTCATCAATTGGTAAACCCGCTGCCCCATTTTATTAGTGAAATCGAACAAGCCGAATTCCAACAGCATCAGTTCCAATTACAGCAATCTCAAGGTGCTAGACAAGTAACGCTGCCGCCGTCAAACGAAAAGCTTCAAGTATTAGCCACCGATTTAAACGAGTTACTCCATGTACTTTTGAGCAAGCTGAAAGACCTATCCAGGCTTCTCTCTACGCCTCGTAACCTGAAGAGGGAAGTAGACACCACCATTGGCAAACAACATCCACTTGGGTCTGAGAGACTCAAGACATGTGAACTCTTTGCCGAAGTCTTGCATCTCCAATATCTATATACATCTAGTCCCCTCTTTGATCGATTGGTGGTGCCACCACGACCACCAGTAGCAGCTTCAAAAGGAGTCGTAGAAGGCGGTGGTGGTGCTCTGGTCGTAGGTAACAGTACAGCTGCAGCAGGTCCATCTTCAGCAACATCTGAAACCGAGAGTAGCACTCCCAACGTTTCTGTAACATCTCGGTCGAGTCGCCCACAACGGCCATTCACTACTACAACAGTGGCAGACGAACTAGTTTCCATAACAGAAACATTTGTAGAGGCCAAGATATTACCAGACTGTCTGTCCCTCTTTTTCGCATTCCCATGGAATAACTTTTTGCATTCGGTTGTGTATGATATGATTGCCAAAGTGTTTAATACGTATTCTTTCACCGCTACTGCTACTATGGTGCGATCCATGTCTATGGAAGGAGGTGTGGCTGCAGAGGCTGAGGTTGGAGAAGATGGTGTATTGTCTGTTGAGGAAAGGATGAAGAAGGTTAAGACTAGTGTTAGAAAGCTGGTTGTTTCGGTAAGTTGTTGCCATCGTGTTGGCATTGGATTGATTGTGCCAAGATTGTGCTTGTTATGCGGAACGTAAAGTGTCCTTTTCTCACTCATTCGACTTTTGCCATAGATCTTCAAAGAAGGCCTTTTAACTCAGAAGATTATACAGGCTCAACGGCAAAATGATGGTGAAGTGTAAGTTCACAACCTCTTAGGTGTCTTGTCCTTATTCCTGTCCTCCTTTCTTTGACACGGCAATGTGCTCACTTTTGCGATTTTTGGATAACAGGGAGCAGCCGAAAGGAGTGAGATTAGGGTACATGGGCCATCTTACCTATATAGCCGAGGAAGTCACCAAATTGGTGGAAAAGTGTGCTCCAGAGCTTGAAGAGATTAAAGGTAACATGGGTGCACCAAAGAGATGGCCATCATGCCGTATCAGGTTTTCTTAGCTCAGCGCTTTTCTAAACCGTTTTTTTTCTGTAGAATACGTTGCTGCTGATGACTGGCAAGAGTACGTATCGGGTCCTCTGAGAGAAACCAAAGAACGAGATCGAGAACCGTTAGGCGGTACTCGGCCTCCGCCCGGAGCTGCACCTCATAACATGGGAGGAGGCGAAGGTGGAGAAGGAGGTGGAGGTGGAGGCGGGGATAACAGAGCCGATGCATTCCGTGCTATGGAAGATGACGAAGATGATTTGGATGCTAGTGGGTTGCCAAACAAGATTCCAAGTGGACCTACATCTACTGATCAGGTAAGGCATTTTAGTTGATTTGGTTTGCTTGAGGTTGGATAGTGTGAAGCAAACGGGAAACGTAGTATGGTTCCTTGTGGGGCATGGCCGATATGTTTTGTATCGTTTCTTTGTCCTAGTTGGTTTGCAGAAATGCACACCCACACCTGTTTTTTTTCTCGAAATCATAATCTTAGTTTGGCCGCTATTTGGTTCAACAGATGGTCAACGATTTACCGGACCGCTTCTTGGGAGGAGAGTCAAGTGACGAAGATGAAGACGAACGTGATTGGATGGGGTAAGTTTGTGCATCTTCCAATAGCTGTCGTTTATAATTTGGACTAATTCCATCTGTGAACAGTGAATTCGATGCTAGAGATGCTGATTTTGATATGAGGGATGGTGCTAATCAAGTATGTGTACATGTCGATTTGTATTTATAGGTTTTTTCTCTTTGCCGTCTCAGCTCACACTCTCTTGAAACATAGGATAACCCATTCCCTCACAAGACATCCACATTCGAAGAATACGATAGTAGTAGAATGAGGCCGTCGCCCGCTGTAGTAGCTTCTAGTCCACCAGCTGCAAAATCCATTATAGAAAACGCCGGTTTTACCACACCACAATCAATAGTCGGGGTTGTTCAACACACCACTACCATTACCAGTAACACCACATCAGCCATACTACCAGTGTCTGCTTCAGGGTCAAGTACTGCTCCTCTTCCTTTTACTCCAGCATGGACTGCAGATTTCTCTACTCCTTTAAGTACAACAACGACAACTACTACTACAACGACGACAACAACAACAGCAATGAATATGACATTTGATACCACTGAAATGAAGGCAGCTTTGGAGGATGAAGCAGGATCATCCACTGCTATTGTAAAGCCGGTTGAGATTAGTAATAGCGGCAGTCATAGCAGTAGTAGTATACCCGCCGGATCGGGCGACGCAAAGACTGTCGTTAAGAAGAGTAAGACGGACGAAGGAGATGGAGATGTTAAGGGTGGTGACCAAGAAGACGAAAAGGAAGAAGGAGATGGTGTTGCACCTACATCAACAGATTGATATTACAAAAAGAGAAAGAGGAGTCGAGAGGACGAGAACGAGAGGAGAGAATTTTTTATACACGGTCGTTTTCTTTGAAATTTTGAATGGTATTCATATACTCACTTCAACGAATTTTAAAACTCTTTTATATTTTTGCTTTCTGGACTCTTTTTAACGATAAATTAGCAGATACCCAGCTGATGAAGATGTGGTGTGCTATTGGTTCTGATGGTTTGTGCGTTTCAGTTTGCTTGTTGGGTTTAAGATTTGATAACCAGTGAACTCGTAAAGTTGACATGGACTCGTAGGTAGTTGGAATTTGAGTGCGATTTGATGTCCTGAGACAGCCGAGACGATCTTTTATCTTGCGTCGATATTGCAAAAAAATGCAAGGTAGTTTCTTAACGTGTTATTCCGACAGAAGTTGACGGAAGAAACATAAATTCTCAAATTATTGGATTCAGTTTGTGATATAAGCATATCGAGTCACTGCTCACGTCCCTAAATGCTCGCGTGTCTTCCTAGTTCATACTTGCGGCGACAAAAATCATCACCGAGTCCGAAATCACAACAAGTCAAAGAAATAATTGAAATTATATATGAGATGTACTGAAAGCTGAGTTCCAAGCTTGAGATACACCATAAAGCTCTGAATGTTGGAGTTGTCAAGACTATGATTTGTGTCTGTAGTCAACACCCAATCAGCATTTCGTACCATGTTATTTTTGGACACATCAACCACTTTTAGCACCATCACCAACAGGCGAGAGCTAAGCCGATAACTAGTTAGTCGCCCATAAGCTACAAAGAGTTCTCCCAAACTCTTGAGCTTTTGGCAGTATTGTCATCACGAGAAAAGAAACCAAAGCAAATCTTCAATCTGGGAACTGAAGATACAACGAACGGAGGAAACATCTACAAAACGAATGTAAGCTTCAAGTTTATATACTATCACCCATTGTTATTGAAAGATAACGGTTGTATTTATACAGTTGAACAAATGGGAGGTTTCATTGGAAGCATTCTTGGTGGATCGACTACATCAGCTGCAAGTAGCCCATCTGCAACGTCTGGCAGTGGAAGTAGTGCTACACCTTCAAACACAGCAGGAACAACACCGACACAAAACACTATCAGCACAACGCCAACAGAAGCCCCTACCATAACACCTTCCGCAACAGCTGATACAAGCTCAACAGCACCACCACAACCAACAACAGTTCAACCATCGGCAACACCATCGACAACACCATCTTCAGCACCATCGCCAGCGCTGTCTGCAACAGCTGATGCATCCTCGGTTGCATCGACACCAGCAGTAACAGAAAGTGCAACTTCAGTCAGTGTGCCAACCAGCACATTATTATCAGCATCCACTACTGCGGAATATGCATCAACCAGCACGTACGCAGCCTCTACAACGGCAGCATGGACAACAGCATCATACATACAGCCAACCAGTGTCACAGCAGGAATATCTCAAAGTGGTGGCAGCAGTAACGGATCCGCATCATCCATATCAGGATCCCCAGCATCAATGCTATCTGGTGCAGCTATAGGAACAATAATACTCGCTGCTATAATCGTAGCCGTGATGGCCGTTGTGGGCACCATGATGTACCGACATGAACGTCAGAGACTAGCTGAATTGGCTGCTGAAGGAGGTGGCGCTTCTGGTGGGGCTTTGGAAAGAGGGTTGCCGCCACTCGTATCGGTATATGGAGCAACAGGATCCACAATCGCACCAGTAACTCCTGTATCTTTCTCGGTATCGGCGCTCCCTACACCAACGACTGGAAACGGATCTGACTTTTATGATTCTGATGCTGTGCCGTTGGGGAAGGCTGCTAGTCGGAGAGGGTCGTTAGCTGATATGTTTTGGCCGTCATCTACACCACCAACAGTAAATCTGCCGCCAGTTAGTCCTATGAGCCTTTATCCAACAATGTAGAAAAGGACTGCTAAATTTGTGTCTGTTTGTCTGTGTATGTAGATAATATTCTGTAATGTGCTACATTAATCTTTCCAAGCCTGCCCCATCTAGTTTATATAAAGTTTGGCCTTCTAAAATAATACTACGAGCATTCAGTGGCTTTTGTACTCGGAGGTCCTACTAGTTTAGAGAGCAACAGGGTATCAGCTCTTGATGGCGAGTCTTCGTGTTTCCAGCAATAAGATTAACGTCCCAAAGTTTATAATGGCTTCTCCATAGTCAGCAGAGGTATTCCATCTAATGTTTTGAGTGCAGTGAGGATCAAGTTGAGTGGGTCTTTTGATACATTTTGAGCTACCTTCATAAAACACATTAGTCCTGTCCAACACCGTATAGGAATGCCTATTACACACACAATGGTTAGTCCTTTCCAGACCATTCCGAGATGTTCGCGTTACCCACTTTTCGTAGAAAGGCACACGATCCACCACTGCATCCAAACTCAGAACTTCCAACTTGTATTCCCGTCCTTTTTCTTCAATCTCCTTCATGATGACACTGGCAATCCCGTTTCCTCGGGCGGCGGGCACAACCGCGAGTCGTCCAATCTTGCCAATTTTGCCCTGGACACAGAATCGTGGTCAACAATTGTGAATGTGGTTGCAAGAATGAAGTGATCCAACCTTGGTATACATTCTAGCGGTAGCGATACACTCCCCAGTATTCGCCAGTCCCATTATGTGCAATGCGTCCTTGTCATGCTAATTGAAGAATCTGGGTGTGAGTTTCAGCCATGTAACTTTTTTTGTGATCAGTGACAAATGTAGCGAGCTCTCGCACCTCATCAACATCAGTTTCAGAAGGACAGCCCATTTCCCTAGATATAGATGATTATCAGCAATCGAATCGACTAAAACCGTTCCGCAAAATGAGGATTTTCAGCAAATTTACACATCAAAACGTACTGCACAAAGACGATTTGACGAATCTCAAGGCACATTTCAATGTCCTGGGCGGACAGAGCGGGCCTTACAGTATAACCACGGGCATCAGTTCGAGTCTCAGTGTCTCTTTGTACGTCCAGAGCTGGCATTTTGGACAAAATGTTGGGAATTGAGTCGTGACATGGAGCAATTTGAAATTCTGCGGGGAGGTGGACGTTCTTTGAGCTTCTACACGTAAAATTCGGTCATACAAAGCAGTATGACGCGTTAGAACGGCCTAGTTTACTCATTGCTGGCTTACGGATAGTATATAACTACAAAACTCACAACACTCAAAACTTCATATTTACTCGAAGCCAAATTCGAGATTTCAAACAGAATAACGATTTTGCAACGGTGAGAGTATTCGGAAGACCATGAGTGAGGAATCTCGCACCAGGCCGCTCATTGAGGAGGTAACTACCGCTGTATAGTAGTTGGAATTTGCAAGAACCGTCGGAAATCGTTGTAGTGAGGAGACGAGGAGTAAACACGAAGCACTTTATTGCAAGGTCGATTTGCATGATTTCTTGTCAATTTCGTTTTCACATGCACTCGGCCACGAGCTTTTTTGGACTGCATCAAACATGTGTAATCATATGATGCAACTCATGTCAATATGGAAACCTCATACGCGTGATTGTCATGCTGATTTTCGACGCTCCCCCTTGCTTTAGGAACTGGACTTGGAGCTTATTGATGTCGACTTGTATCGTTCCAAGAGACTCTGGCGACCATCTCGTGCTCGTGGTGTATTCGGAGGCCAAGTCGTTGGGTATGTGTGAACCCAATGAATTCATTGACTCGGATCATTCTCTTCTCGCATCTTTCTGACACTTTACGTAATCACAGCCAGGCATTAGGTGCTGCTACGCGCACTCTCGACCCAAAATTCCACGTCCACTCACTCCATGCCTACTTCTTGCTACCTGGAGATTCGCGCATCCCTATAATATACGTCGTCGATCGTATTCGGGATGGTAAAAGCTTTGCTACTCGTAGTGTAGCAGCAAAGCAGAGAGGCCGTGTAATATTCCAGGCACTAGTCAGTTTCCAGGTGCCCGAAAAGTCGATTCTGTCCCACCAAATACCAATGCCTCAAGTCCCCGAACCTGAAATGGTGCCCTCTCAAGAAGATAATATGAGGAAACTATTGGAAGATCCCAAAGCTGCCAAGCTTCACAAAATGGTGCGAATGAGGTTGGATGAACCGCTGCCGATTGAGTACAGGGATATAGTAGGAGGAGAGACTTATGAGCCCGTTGTATCGCGTAATACTGGTAGTGGTCAGAGCAAGGGAGGTGCTAAACGAATGCTGTGGATGAAATCAAAGGGACGACTTCCAGATGATATGAGCTATCATCACTGTGCTGTTGCTTATTGCTCGGATCATTATTTGCTTGGAACCGCTATGCTGCAGCATAATGTCTCCTTTAGTGAGTCATCAAATCCAAGGCTGACCATTGTTGCTTCACTGGACCACACACTATGGTGAGAATGGGAATAAGATGAGAGTCGAATGTTCATGGAATTTGTGAGATAGAGGAAATAAGCTGTGAACCCCACCTGCTTACGGCTTTCCCGTCCTTTACAAACAGGTTTCATGATGTTTTCCGAGCTGATGACTACCTCCTGTACATTATGGAGTCCAGCTGGACCGGAGGTATATCAATTTGAATGTGTATTCTTTGAGTCCTCGTGCCTTGCCGACACGTCGCTTTGTGGATCTTATCGTTCTCCCCACTGATACATACACTTACATCAACAGGCGGACGAGCTATGATGTATGGAAGGATTTATACGAGAGACGGACGACTGGTTGTCTCGTGTGCTCAGGTGAGCTTAGGATCATTTCTTGTTCGAGGCGTTTGGTATCTGTGCAGAGTTTGGTACTTCCGTTTGTATCCTGGCAGAACTGCTCATCATACACCGAATATCTCAAATTTGTAAGTCTGCTTCATTAGGAGGGATTGTTGCGTGCTGAATACAACGTGCCAAAAGCGCTGAAGGATTCGACGCCAGTGGATCCGGCATCATCAAAGCCCAAGTTATAAATGATGGAGATAAAGAGAGAGGAAAATAGAGACGAATAAGACTAGGGAGATGGTTGTCTCTTCTCTTGTACATTACCAGCAATGGTATTTGAAATATTGTCGCTGTTGGGATCATATTGGCCCTGTTGTCGGGAGAATGATAATGATAATAGACTAAAAGTATCTATGGATGTATTTGAATGGATAGGTTCATATTCGCCGACCGTTTTAGTAGTCCGCATATGTTGATCTCGGGGTTTGATGAGCGACTCCACACACAAACCAGCAGCTCTATCACATTCATGTACAGATGGTTTATTCAGGTGCTTTGAACGCATCCTTCGATTCGGCGTTACTACGGTGGACTATGCAACTAGATCCTCCATATACTAACAAAACATCACCATCTTGTCTTTTTTCGAATTCGCGAACCCATACAACAAGATCGACGCGTTTGGATAGTGTTATGATGATTTAATATTGTTCCAACGCCTCCGACTCCGCAGTTATCACTTTGTGAAAGTCTACGGAATATGATAAACAAGGTCTGTGCTCCTGAGAGTAAAGATGAGCACTGTAACTGGAATATCAGAAAACAAGTTCCATGTGCCTATGATCATATCGTCAGACTCTATATTTTGATAATATTGTAGAATAACTCACGTAAACACGTAAATCTCTCATGCACCCACACATACGTATATCACATAAGATGGACTTGTCTGTGCGTTATTGAAGCAACATCTATTATCGTATTATCGCGCCTTAGAAAGCGCTATGTCACATTTCACCAGCCATTTCGCGTACTCGAGTCACTTTTTAAGCATAATGCTATTGCTACTGCCATTGTGAACCATCATCATGGCCTGGAGACAACGAGGAACAAACAGCCTACGAGGCTTGATGGACAATCTCGGCAGCAGCTCATCTACAGGAGGCAGTAATAGTGCAGGTGGTGGTCGAGGGATAGTAGGCAGTGCAGGAACGTTATTAGCACTTGGAGCTCTGGCTGTTGGAGTGAATGCCAGCTTATTCAATGGTACGCTACAACATGCGCTCGAGTGTAGATGACATTGCGAGCTATAAGAGCTGCGTCCTTGACTCGTATAACTCTGTTTGTATACATCCTCATTTTTTGTGTTTTGCAACATTTGACACGTTTATACTTTTCGTCTATCTACAAGTACTCTAAATGCTAATACCTAATCTTATCTTCTTAATCTATGCCTGAATAGTTGATGGAGGTCATCGAGCTGTCATGTTCTCTAGAATTGGTGGTGTCAAGAGCAACGTTTACAATGAAGGAACGCACTTTCTGATTCCTTGGTTTGAATCTCCCATCGTATACGATGTCCGTGCTAAGCCCCGAAACATCGCCTCTCTCACTGGAACTAAAGGTACATAAGCTTGATTGGAAGTGGAACAGCAGTTGGTTGAGCGTAAGAAACCATGATGAGCAAATCACTATACGCAGCCATGCTCAAACTCATATCCAAACCTGTTTGAAACTTTTCTCTGAATTACTGATATCCCGATTTGTGCTCATATACTCCACAACCTAGATCTTCAAATGGTTAACATCACTCTAAGGGTGTTATCACGACCACGAGTTGAAGAACTACCTCGAATCTTCAAGACTCTGGGTATCGATTACGATGAGCGAGTCTTGCCATCCATCGTCAACGAAGTCCTCAAATCTGTAGTTGCTCAATTCAACGCTAGTCAGTTGATTACCCAACGTGAACGAGTAAGCTTATAGATATATTTGAACCTTTTCGTGAAGACGAAGTAGATTGAACTTATAATATGAATATGCGGTATCGTGAGGAGAGCGGGAGGGTCTATTGGCCGGTTGCAGCACAGTTTTTGAGGGACGAGGGACGACAACAACGATCGTTTTGGCTGGACATGCAGCCGAAGACCTTGCCAAATTATCATAGCAGCCAGGAATTCAGTTTCTAATTCACATCTCTTTCTTTTTTTTCTTTACAGGTATCACGTCTGATCCGTGAACAACTGGTTCGACGAGCATCATCATTCGACATTATTCTTGATGATGTCTCCATTACCCATATCGCATTTTCACCGGAATTCACCCATGCCGTTGAAGCCAAGCAGATTGGTATGTAAATGGGTCGGTTGGAAATAGATCCTCGAATCGATCTTGCAGGCATTGTCGATTTCTATGCGGAAGTCAAACCAGAACTACATCGCCGGCATCATTGGGAACCGAAAAAGAATTGCAATAACTCAAATCAGCCTACTAATTCTGCTTCTTCTTTTCCAACCAATAGCTCAACAAGAAGCACAACGTGCTTCATATGTGGTCGACAAGGCCAAACAAGAAAAGCAGTCGATTGTAGTCAAGGCTGAGGGAGAAGCCAAGTCAGCTGAAATGATTGGAGAGGCTATTCGTAAAAACAAGGGATTTTTGGATTTACGACGTATTGAAACGGCCCGAGAAATTGCTACAATCATAGCCGCATCGAGCAATAAAGTGTATATGGATGCTAGTACGCTCTTGATGAATGTGAACGACTTGACGTGAGTGTTGTATATGATGTGAATGTGGTGGAAGTTTCGGGTGAAGCTTGTAGTTTTGCTCGTTTGGTTGCCGGGACAATCAAGTGGTTGAAATACATCCCAGATATCAATTGCTGACTCTCGTATCTTATATAGGCCGGCTCAAGAGGACAAGAAACGATAAAGTTGTTTTTGGTGTAGAGGGTTTGCATAGGATTTCCTCATCTTTTGTCTCGAAAAATATAAGCAGCTTTTATAGTTATATAAAGTCTCGCCGAAACTCCTTGTTGAACAGTTTTGATCACGTAGAATAGCGTCCTTGTTTGGAATTTGCAGTTGGGCTGCACCTCAAGTTGCCAGCATCACGCTAAAAACAACGATGGCAAAGCAGAAAGAGCAGGCCGAAGGGTCTAGTAAGCAGCATACGGCGACTCGCGCTCTGAAGAAGCAGACTGCAGATGCAGAACTTACTGAACTGGAATCAAAAGCTTCAAACCCAGTAAGTTTAGTATCCCACTTTTTTACAAGCTTTACCAACCTGTAAACAATATTACAGGACCAATACCTAAAGAATCCAGATCTGAATCAATTCAATGAGCTTCCATTATCTGGAAAAACTCGATCTGGTATGTACATCAAAACGATCAATTTTTTTTCGACACTGAGCTCCAGTCAAACTCAACAACATCCTATAAAATCAGGGCTGACTAAAGCCAACTTTATGGAAATGACTGAAATCCAAAAGGAGTCTTTGCCATTGTCTTTGGCTGGAAGGGACGTCTTAGGTGCTGCCAAAACTGGATCCGGAAAGACGTTGGCGTTTGTTATTCCTGTAAGCTTTGGGTGAAGAGCAGTCGTGCAAATACTGGATTTGAAGTGTGAATCCGCGTGCAGTCATGTATATGAAGCTGTGGATCGTGTGGTGGATCATTTGCAAGCTGCTCACACCTTTGGAATCGTATATTAGGTGCTCGAATGTCTCTACCGAGCTAAATGGACGAAATACGATGGCGTTGGAGCTTTGATTATATCTCCTACTCGTGAATTGGTAAGTTCCTGGTTGACTTTTCAAGCAGACCAGGCAACCAAAAAACGCTATCTTTGGGTGTATGATTTCTCAAACATGACAATTCGCAATAGGCACTCCAAATCTTTGAAGTGTTGCGACGAGTAGGTCGCTTCCATAACTTTTCAGCTGGCCTGCTGATCGGAGGCAAGGACCTAAAAGCTGAACAAGAACGAGTAGTGCGCATGAATATTCTCGTTTGCACGCCTGGTCGGTTGCTGCAACATATGGACCAGACGCCTGATTTCACTTGTGATAACCTGCAGATTCTTGGTGAGAGTCAGCTTGTTGACGTACTTCAGATCGCAGTACCATTTTTTTAACCCTCTGCGTCTTTTTCCCCACTCTAGTAATGGATGAAGCAGATCGAACGATGGATTTTGGATTTGAAAAGAGCATAAATGCCATTATAGAAAATTTGCCACGAAAACGGCAAACCTTACTGTTTTCTGCTACTCAGACCAAGACGGTTCGTGATTTGGCTAGGCTAAGTCTGAAGGTATGCTGAAACGAATAGCAAAAAGGAATCGAAATGTCATCTAGTATACTCACACTTCAAGTCTTTTCACAGGATCCTGAATTCGTAGCAGTGCATGAAAAAGCAACTCATGCAACCCCATTAAAGCTGGATCAAAAGTACCTTGTTTGTGAATTACAAAACAAGCTTGATGTTCTATTTTCGTTTATTCGATCACATCAACAAGCTAAGATTATTGTCTTCCTATCAAGCTGTAAACAAGTATGTATAGAAGAACCTTTGCAGTACCTTTTTTTCTCGCTAAAACTCACCACTGTTTCAAAGGTGCGATTTATTCACGAAACCTTTTGGAAGATGAGACCAGGCATGACGTTAATGTGTCTTCATGGAAAACAAAAGCAGCCTAAACGGGTTGCTATATTTGAAGACTTTTGCAGAAAACAGTATGCATGTTTGTTTGCTACTGACATTGCTTCAAGGTAAAGCTTCCGTTTTGATGCGAGAGAAGAAATTTGGTGGTCATTGAGCTGGGAGAACATGATCTTCGAAACAAGGCGCCAAGAGAAAGATTGTCTCAGGATGCTGAAGATAAAGCTCAAGATGCGACCTGACACCTCTCTTTCCAAATAACATCTAGAGGTCTTGACTTCCCAGCTGTCGACTGGGTAGTCCAAGTAGACTGTCCTGAAGATGCCGACACTTATATTCATCGTGTTGGACGGACAGCTCGGTATGAAGCAGCCGGCCATTCTCTCTTGTTTCTTCTGCCAAGTGAAGAACAGGGAATGCTAGAAGCACTCAAGAGTAAGCGAGTGCCGATTGACAAGATACATGTCAATCCTAGTAGAGTGGGAGCTGTTGGTGCTGAATTGAGAGCTTTGTGCTCTCGAGATCCTGAAATCAAGTATTTGGGTCAAAAGGTATACGACATGATGCTGACCAGTCAGTTGGTTAAGTCGAACACGCTTGAGTTATCTGTTTTGCTTACGTTTGCTATTTTTTTAGGCTTGTATATCATATGTTCGATCAGTGTACCTGCAGTCAAACAAGTCGATATTCGATGTACATGCTCTCCCTCTACCTGAATTCGCTGAATCATTGGGGTTGCCTGGCACTCCCAAGATCAAATTCGTTGAGGTGATTTTTTCTCCATTTAGTATCTTCGCCAAGCGACTTACATCATTACTCGCATCCACAATAGAAATCGAAAAAGAAGAATGAATCGAGGCAATTAGCAGCCCTCGAAGAATCATATAACGCAGACAAGAAACCCAAAAAGACGAAAAAGAAGAAACACTCGTCTGACGATGAGATTGACGATTTAGCAATGACTATGAAAGCTAAAGCACATGCTCGTTTTGATTCAGAAAGCGAGGCTGAAGCCTCTAATGAAGATGATGCTGATGAATTGCAAGTTCTGTCTTCTTTGACTGCCAAGAAGGTGGTTACAAGAGTGGACAGAATGTTTGCTAAAAAGAATACTACAGTCTTGTCTGATCACTACACGAAGCTTGTGCGTGATCAAGACAGTGCTGACGATGGTAGCGCTGGTAGTGATCAGGATGAGGAAATTAGTAATGATGATGTGGATGCTAGTGGACATGATGTTGAAAGGCCAGTGACGATGGAATTGCTTGGTGGTGTAGATGACGACGACGATAATTTCTTGACTCTGGCACGTCGTGATCATGATGTTACTGATGTACCACAGGTAATTTCTAATTGTTAGGTCTTTTTTGCACGAATGAATTCTAAAATCTTCCCTTTGATCACAGCCCATTGAACTTCCAAGTAGAAGACGATTACAACGATTGAAGGAAAAGGAAATCAAGAAACGTGGATCTGGTCAAAAGTACATGTTTGATGATGAAGGCACTGTAAGTATCTAAACGCAGCTACAACTTCTTCTCCATTCGTGTTTTATTAATCAGATGTGATCGACTTCCAAATAGGCTGTACCAACATATAAACTACAGAATCTGGACGAGTTTGCCACTGAACAACCTATACCGGAACGACAAGCAGAATATATAGTGGCCAGTTCAGCCAAAATGAAGACTGCTGATGTAGCAGATAAGTCAGTAGAACGAGAACGTATCCGCGAACGTAAAAAGTTGAGAAAGTTGAAGGAGAAGGAATCTCGTCGTGAGGTAGTAGCCCTGAAAAAGATTTTCTTTAGGCAAGCTGGACCTTCCTAATTAATCCAATTTCCTTTTAGAACTCTAAGCCTGCCATGGTAACATTGAGTGCAGCCGAAGCAGGCGATGAAGATGATGCCGCCATGCAACAAGATGACGAGGACGATGGAGAAGAATACGAATCAGCACAAGATATCGTGTCAGATGGTGAACAAGATGTAAATGCAGATGCTAGTGGATGGCAGTCTGATGATGCTCTTTCTGATATTGGGGACTTGCAAGTGGATTTGGATGAAGGTGGTGGCGACGGTGGTGAGATGGTAGAAGATCAAGATGAGGATGTGCCACCACCACCAGTAGTAGGCAAGAGTAAAAGTAAAAGCAAACGATCACGGTCTGCTGTAGAGCAGGATGATGTGCTACGAAAGAGTAGTGGTGGTGGTAGGAAGAAGCTGAAAATGCTTCCGGGGGAGAGTCTAGAAGATCTGGCGTTGAGTTTGCTCTCACAGTAAATAATAGAAACATATTGTTTTGTTTAAAACCACGTCTATTCTCTAGTTTAGTATGTGCATTCTTGTTGCGCTTTGCATTGTAGTACAAGCGAGGCGAGGTAAACAACAATACCTGACTCGAGAACTGTAAAGGCAAAACATATCTCGGCCGTCAAATAGTACAAAGTGAGTCATTGAACTGTCGTGATGCGTGCTTCGTCATGTGCATTCTGATGTTCTTCTGCTTTTCAAATGCTTTCAGCTAACCGAATTTGTTTACCAAGAATACAGGACAATAAGACAGGCAACTCATCATATAAAGGAAGAGAGGCTCTGCATGCATTCATCAAAGATGCATGCATCGCTCTTTTATCTGGTCGCTTTCGTTTTAGCAGTCTGTACAGCCATACCGAATCCCATTCAGCCAACACCTTTTGCATCATTCAACGCAACAGTCACAGCTCTGAATCTTAATGCTGTGCAATTATACAATGATAATGGTACGTTATTTGACTTCACTGACAAAGCGTTGATGTGCATCAACGGCGTACCATCGCTGGTCTGCGCCATTGTTGATCAATCCGCTTAGCAAAGCACACTACAAAACACCGTCATAACTCACTCCTTCCATCATCACATATATCCAGAGTACTCACTATCATTCTACTGGACGATCGAAAGCAAAGGAACAGCCACCGAACGATTGCATGGCGTACTTGTCTTCACCTGCAATGTCAATCAACAAATGAACTACTCTTGGGCAGGTGTCGGACTAGGATGTTCGACAATGCTTGATTGTAATACTATGGCTGTCATGCATCAAATTAATTCGACTCCTGGAATCAGTCCGATTAATTTCCATGAGCATACTAGTATGGCTGTTTATGGTCCGCCAGCTCATGTAAGTTCCTGATGCGAAGGACATTTGTAGTCATAATGATGGGCGTACTACGGTCTGGTTGATCTTGGGTGGTTGCAACGAAGATAACATGGCAGACAAAATCAGTTTGGAGGTTCATCCACAACTCGTGCTGACCACTTCGTTTTGCTGTTTTCCGATAGGCCGAAACACCTCTGTTACAATCTGTAAGCGGAGGCTTCGAAAATAACATCCCCGCAACCCAACGCCTCTACGTCGAATTCGTCATCGCAACCACCCCAGTAGACGGAATCCACAGCCTAATCGACGTCAACGCTCCATTCACCTTGATTTACGCATTCAACCCTAACTCTGGCATCAATTATCGATCAGAGAGATTCACGTATCATAGCCCTGATTATCGAGGATCTGTACAACTTAGTCGATTGGTAGCTACTGTTGATGCTCCTATACGAGTTAGTGTGTTGGGTGTTGCTCCATTGTCTCAGAAGGTTGCTCACGGTGTCGGGATGATGCTCGTTTGGCTTGGGTTGTTTCCGTTTGGGATTTATTGGGCTCGATACTGTGAGTTCGTCGTTAGCACGACATGCATCCACAGCGTGAGTCCTTTTTTTGCTGATGTGTCGTACTACTTTTTAGTGCGTTCTGCTGGACCAGGACTCTGGATTCATATTAGTGTCCAATGGTGAGACAGCGTCTTTCAAACATCTAAGTCGCAAATGTCATGTCTTACCCTTGTCTAACTGTATCCCTCCAAACTCTAACATAGCTTTGGATACCTTCTCTTGTGGTTCTTCTTTATTCTCATTGTCACAGCAATCCAGTTATGGCAACGACCACATGCCATCTTGGGGATCTTCCTGGTTGTATTTGCAACGATTCAAGTCTTGTTGGGAGGCTTGAACTTTGCAGGCTTAAGGAATGAACGTATAGCTGAATATCGGCATTACATAAGGCTGTCTCATCATATTGTTGGGCCGTGTCTGGTGTTGCTTGCCGTTGTCCAAGTAGCTTTAGGTGACTTTGTTTGGTGAGGATGTTTGCCAATGGAATTATTCCTGAGTTCTTTTTTTGCAAAATAGGCTTGAGCACATTATTCCCATTGGTTGAACCTCGTGGATCTGAATATTGGGTATGCTACTTGTGCATTTCAACTATGCGGGAGTAGTAACCATTCTAACAATCAATAACTCTTCGATATTTTTGTCTTAGATTCTATACTTCATTCTACTAGGTGCTTGGCTTTCGATCTTCATAGTGACCGAAACATACTATAGATTAAGAGTCGTCAATTATGATGCAGTCCCCAGATCCAACTCTATAAACGATCGAACTGATGACATGGCCAATGTAGCTGCTAAATGGGTTGGAGTCTGTGTTGGATTCATGGGTTCTAAGAAGGCTGCTCAAAACAATGGATTCCGTAATGCCGGTGTACACAATGTTCAACCCGAAGGTGTACCATTTGTGACGAATATTGAGCGTCAACGTAGTGATCAACGTAATGTAACGAGAAGCAGCAATGGTCAACCGAAGGCTGCTGGTATTGGTAGTGCAATTGGAATAGGTGCAGTCGCCACAGCCGCTGTTGGTAATTCATCGCCGTATGATATTGAAATGGTTGAATCACCATTAATGAAACGTAAGATACCTAAAGACGAATTGCGATCGTTTACGTGGCAGAACCTTGATGAGGAGATCAATACTGGGTATGTCTTGAGCAGCTTCTCAGCAATGTCTTCAAATTTTTTTCCTCAGCATTAGCTGACTTTTGATTTAACTTTAGACGAGGATTGTATGTGGTCGCTGCTGGACGATGGGTCTATGATATCTCGTCATGGATTAATACTCATCCTGGTGGTCGTGTCATCTTGAGAAACGTTATTGGCACAGTAAGTATCCATGCAGTATCACGACTTTTTCCCCCGGTTTTTATCTCACTAAAATCACCAAAAATATTACGTAGGACATCTCAAACGATTTCTTGTACGAACTGACATCCTTGAAATTGTGTTTGTAAGCCTTGAAATCAAATTAACTTGACCTCCTTTCGTTCCTTTATAGCCATGAAGCAGGATTCGACGTGGAAGCCATCAACCCTGATGTGATGGTTCCACCACAACGACAACGCACCAACCCTCTACCACAAACTAGTGCAGATCGAGCAGCGGCAGCTGCAGAAGCATCATCAGCACCTCCGACGTCATCTTTAGCACGATTCACTGAAATGGAAGGACTCGAACAATTGCCGCAATTGAATGAAGAAGATTGGACTCGTATTCGCAGGGCTCGTAAAGTACACGTGCATACTAAGCTGGCAGTACAGAAGCTGGCTCAATTCCTTGTTGGTGAAGTCACTGCAGTACGAAGTCCCAGGCTTGCTTCGTCTTCGAGGGTTGTTTCGTCTTCTATTCGATTTGATCCTTATGGTGAGTTACCTCAGATAGTCTCGTGTCGTTTCATCAGCAGTTACCTGCAGTAACAGCGTCCAAATCCCCGCAGAGTTTGGTTTTTTTTTTTGCTACATCAGCTTTCTGTACTGATCTACATTTTTTCTCCAACTGTCTCAGAATACCGACGATATGCCATCACTCAGATGACTCCATGCAACAACTCCACTACTGCTTCCGTGATCAAATTCCGATTTGTGCGATTGTATCCGCATGACTCCAGAGCTGAAGAAGTGCTTGAATTCCAGCCTGGAGAATGTGTCGAAATCCAAGTCAATATTGGCGGTCAGTACGTATCTCGATACATTACACCTATTGGAGGTACTCCTATTGCTTTTGAGGCTTATATCAAGGTATTTGGTGGTTTGACCATTCTGCGGTTGACATGACAGCTCACTTCGCATTATTTTTGTCGCACTTCTAGATCTATAGCAACGGTGTCATGACGAAATGGCTACAATCGCAAAAGGTCGGAGACAAGCAAGTCAAGATTCGAGGTCCGTTTGGGTAAGCGTCAAGGAGAAGAAGTGTTGTACATGCGAACGTGCAATTCCATGACAGGAAATCACTCGATAAGCTATATTTCCCTTTTCTTTTTTGCCTCTCAATCAGCTTTTCAACTCACCATATCTCACTCTGTTTAACTTAGTACTCCATTTGTACCAAGATCTCTTCAAACCACTCCACAATATCCGGACGTTATGATCTTCTTCTCAGCTGGAAGTGGCCTCGCTCCTGCTCTCCAGTGCTTGCAATCATATCTGCTCCCAACCATTCAACCACTACGAGTCATTGTCCCATACTATCCACAACAAAAGGACGAGCTTACTCTTACACCGGGACATCTCGTAACGGCTCTAGCACATTATAATGATGGGTGGGCGTATGGCACATCCCTGACTTTGAAACAAAATGGAATCTTCGTGAGTAATGCTGCAACGCATTGTTCCCTTTTTAGCCCCTCTTTGACATTTGGCTCTTTTGTCAATAGCCACTTCCCGTAACTCTTCCAATATCATCCAGCACACGCTTCTTGATAATCAACTCGGTACACTCATCCAACGATATCACATCAGATCTTTTTGCATTGGAGACTCTGAAAGCAGCACATTTAGCCTATCCACATGCTGTACAATGCTGGCATGCAGTATCAGATGCCACGAATCTAGGACGAGTGCCTGATTTACCAACTGGAATCAATGCTATACTGCCTGGACGAGTTACACTATCAAGGGTGCAGGATATCTTGCATATTGCTAACGAACCTCATCCATTGTTTGGAGCTATTGCTATCAATTCCAGACGTGTTGTTGTTTGTGGGCCACGATCTTATACCGGTGTGTATTGAATGCCTGATGAATTGAGTGGTAGTGATCTCCCTGTGGTATTAAGTGTCTTGCATCTGACTCGTGTTTCTATTTTTTTTGCATTAGGACACATGTTGGACATTCTCGGTGAAGCTGGTATTCCTATGACTGAAGTATCGGTCTTGCCCCCGGATCGTTATGTATGAAACAATTGGGAAGTCAATGATAGTTAGTTAACTGGGTAACAATCAAGGATTATGGAAACATCATCAAAATCAAAAAGAAACAAAGTATAAGAAATAGTAGTACAGTACAAGCAGTAGTCATAAACACAGAATTGTATTATACAAGCACCGTAATATTATAACAATGAAGTAACAAGCTTCCGGTACTTTATTTAGATTTAAGCAGCATCAAGCGACGGGTCGGCTGGTAGAAACAGGTTTCAGTGACAGTAACTTTCAGTGTCCTAACGTCACGTAATTGTCCTTTGTATTTCAGTTTGTATTGAATTGCCGAGTTTTGAATGGAGCGAGTGTTCTGAAGGTGAACGTGGATCAGAGGAGCCTCTATTCAAAATTCGAATTGAAACTTGAATTTCATGCCCACTTCAGCGCACTCCTTGAATATTCAACATTTTCCTTGGATCTTGACTGATCCTGAAACACGTGAACTTTTCGAATTTTTCCAAACATGGACGCAACGACAAGAGAAGCCATCACGCTGCCTACTAAAACAATTGAAAAGATGCTCAAGGATGTAGAAAATGAAAGAATTATGGATGCCAAGAGTCTTGAGCCAGTAGCTCGAGTCTTCGAACATTGGAACGAACATGTGCTTGTCTTGATGTTGACTTAATAGTAAAGATACCACCGAAAGCTGAAGCTATGCTTATCCCAAATTAGGCTCTTGACACACTCTACATGACAATGCCATCTTCTCCTCTCTATTGTCGTCACAACTTGTATTTTATCATCAGACATCATTGGGTCAAGATGCTCTGAAGAATTTCAAGCTCCTGGAAATGGACGGATGGCCTGCTGACTTTGTGGATCTTCATTTGGCAAACGGGACTGAGTTATTGAAGGCGGAAAGGCTGGTAGAAGCATTGGCCGAATCTGGTCTCAGCATATCTTCCATATTGGGCTGATTAGCTTGACAATGAACTTGTCTCCACAAACTCAATAAGCTGCAGTATTTCGAATGTAGAAGCAGTATTATGTCTGGAAACTTGGCAGACCGGATTGCCAATACTCGGGTACAGACAAATATGAGACCTTGCTAGAATATTTACGAAAGCAAAGGTTGCACAGTTGGAAGTGGTTTGGATGCTACTCTACCTTGCTCGGATTCGAACCATTACAAGTCACAACTCCATACTATCGACAGCAACGGACGAAGTTACTTCTGAGCCTGGACACCTCGTCACAGCTCTAGCACATAATGATCATGGGCGGCCACATGGTCCTTCCCTGACTACTAAATATTGTGGAATATTTGTAAGTTGAAGAATTGATTTATGTTATGAAGGGCGTCCGTTTCAATCGTCGTTCTTCCCCATCCTCACAAACGTCACATCGATTTTCTAGCCCCTTTTCTTCACACTCTCAATATTATCCTTATTATCAACTCTGAACTCTCATCCAACAACATCACGGCGGATTTCTCTGCACTTTAGACTTTGGAAGATGCAATTGGAACAACCACACGGAGTACATGCTCTTTTGCGTTATCAGATGCAGTGATTCCTGACGTGATGTGCCGTTTTGTTGTTTTGTTGCTTAACGCATTCAACGTGTTACATTATCAAGCATGACAACATGCGTCGCGTATTGCCGAAGAGGCTAACCCTTTGTCTGGAGTCATGGCTAGTAGTGTGAGACGTGTTGCTGGTTGTGGACCACGGTCTTATGTATGCATTGAATGATTATGATGTGTTGTTGTGATTTGTCGGCACCTTCGTTAGGTCTTATGTTTCTATTGTGACTGATGACATGAAGGCCAAGAAATCATCAAGGCAATCCAACCAGCAAACGAAGCACCTCAAGTAATCACCAGTGCAACAAATACGGAAGGTGTAAAGGTGTAAGCAACCTGATAAGAAAACAGAACGTCATTCTACTTTTGATGTTCGAGAGAGTCGCGCTTTTAATTGGAGATTCACAAGTACAATGACAAGCAAAACAAGAAACAACCAATGGATCAATAGTAGTAGTGATAGTTATAGTTGACTTGGGTAGTTTATATAAAGAAACTGAGCGTTGGTGGTAGATACATCATATACAAAGAAAAGCGATGATTATTTTATTGTTTATTTGGAAGATTGGTACTTTGTGACGGCCTTGGTTCCTTCTGAGACGGCGTGCTTTGAGAGTTCACCAGGGAGGATGAGACGTACAGAGGTCTAATAGATGAGATAATATAATAAGTAAATGCTTGATAAGGTGTAATACGACCAACGACAAGTAACAGATCAAGACATACTTGGATTTCACGAGAAGAGATGGTTGATCGTTTGTTGTATGAAGCCAATTTGGAAGCTTCGGTGGCGATACGTTCAAAGATATCGTTGACAAAGGAGTTCATGATTGACATTGCCTTGTTTGAGATACCAGTGTCTGGGTGGACCTGTTTCAAGACCTTGTAGATGTAGGTGGAGTAGGTCTCCTTCCTGGCCTTTCTAGGCTTCTTCTTGTCACTACTGGTAGTCTTCTTTTCAGCAGTCTTTGCTGGCATCTTTCCTGCGGGCTGAGTGATGGATGCATGTTAGTTACATGTAGTGTGATGCTGGTTGGAATGTTCAAGTAATAATAACATTGGGTGCATACCTTCTTTCCACCGGTTTCCTTTGGAGGCATGTTTTTTATATTACTTGATTGGGGAAAGTAGTGGGATAGAGTGGTTGTTGATGGCGTTTGATAACTTGATATGAATTTTGTTAGAAGGGGAAGGCAGAGTATTTATAGTCTGACAGGCTTTGCAAAGTGGGCCATTTGCCATCAAAACAAATCATCAGGATGTGCGCAGTCCCTTGCATCTCATTGGCTGAAATTCCTCTAACATCCAGATTTTTGTTTACGTTTCACTATGCACTCTGGCTTTGTAAACAGGGGTCCTCGACAAGTATATAAGCAAACGAATCGCCCACTCTCACATCGCCATACAAGCAATAAGCAAGCAACACTACAGACTACAACTCTCTTTACTACAAAGAAAACTTCATATAAAATGGCTGGAGGAAAAGGAAAATCTGCAGACAAGTCCGCCAAAGCTACCAAGTCTCGATCATCTCGTGCTGGTCTCCAATTCCCTGTTGGTCGTATCCACCGTCTCCTCCGTAAAGGAAACTATGCTCAAAGAGTCGGTGCTGGTATGTACTATTTAATCTTGTCTTATCCTCATCATGTTATATGCGGTTTGTTGTTTCATGCCAAACATCTTACTCAAACATTCAACTCATGCAGGTGCTCCCGTCTACTTGGCTGCAGTGCTCGAATACTTGGCTGCTGAAATCCTTGAATTGGCCGGTAACGCTGCTCGTGACAACAAGAAGACCCGTATCATTCCTCGTCACTTGCAACTCGCTGTGCGAAACGATGAAGAATTGAACAAACTCTTGGGTGGTGTTACTATTGCTCAGGGTGGTGTACGTATACTGGATCGTCGTTATATCGTATATTTGAGCTTGAATCTCACCCGGATCATATCACAACAGGTCTTGCCAAACATCCACGCCAACTTGTTGCCAAAGAAGACTGCCGAACCCACCACTGGCAAATCAAAGAAGGTAGATTCATTGATGTCATCGTGATCGATTTAATCATCATCAGATTCTAATTCTTTTCCACTTCCAACTAGTCATCAAAGAGCGACGAATAAATCTCATGACCGCAACCACACACACACCATTACTTGTATTCAAACTAGTTGAAACTACTCTCTCGCCCTTTGTTCTTATATGTGTATATATTTACCAGTAAAAAAACACCAAATATACAATGCTTGAAAAAATAATTACTATGACCTTTGTTATGCAAGAATGATTTGGCAATGAAGTTGGGCTGAACTATGAAAAATGAGGGACGTTTGGATTGATTTGAGTGCTTATGACGCGTCTTGGTATGTAGATGGGTATATAGAACAGTGGATCTCCAAGCATTCACTACATCGTTTTCATTCGCCCAGAACCAAAACATTTCATCGGCCTGGAAGGAGAGAACCAGCTGATGATGCATTGGAGGATATCTATACTGCTAGCTCTGGCTATATCGCTGGTCGGCAATCTACCGGCTGTCCATGCCTCCAAAACTCTGCAACTCGCAGATATTGTCTTTACCATCAACAAGGGTGGTGACAATCAAAAGATAACTGAAAAGTGAGTACATAATTTACGTTGAATTTATTATAGCTTGTTGGAGGCTACTGCCCTCTCCTCCTCTCTGTTTGAAACATCAGCATCTAAAACGTCAAAACATCAAAATCTAAATTTCATTCAATTCCGACCTAGTCTCAAATATCCAGCAAAGCTCCCATCCACACTACCAACCATAAAAAACACCGATACAGTAAAACTATCATTCACAGCTTCATTCTCTGATGGGTCGGCATTGCCGGGTCTGCATCAAGCTGTACTGTCATTGCAATCTACGGATCCTGTATCGCGTGTTGCTACTCAAATCGCTACGAAATTGGATGTAGCTTATGCTTGTGATAAGGGCCGTGGTGCTTCGTATTCGGTCTCTACTGTAAGTCATGCTGGTGATGATGGCAGTTGATGGTTTTGGGTGTCTGAGGATTTGTGGAAAATGTCAAAGGAACGTGGAGATACAAACTAGTGCAGTCGGTTCTGCTGTCGTCGAATCGTGGATTACGAATAGGCAATAGCAACAAGAGAAGAATTGGGCAATCTCGATTAGCGACTCTGCTAGTCTCCTCCAGCACCCTCAACGTTTGCTTTGCTGACCTATTCTTCCACGTAGGATTTTGGAACTCAGGATACCATCGACGCCTTCCTAGCCCACTCTGGATCATACGATGCCATCCTCTACATTGCACACTCTGAATCTTCAACCCCATTAGCATATCCAATGGGAAGCATCAGAATCAACTTTCCTATAAACGCACAAGTGTCTATAAAACCATCCATGCCTGAATCATTCCGTCCTGAAAAGGAAATTCATCATATATTTAGACTGCCTGATAAACAAGCTCCAAAATGGTTGTCTGGATTGTTTACGATCCTGGTGGTAGTGCCTTGGGTTTTCTTGTTGGCTGCTGTAAGTAGTGGTAGTTGTTATAATGTGTGCGATGAATGCTTGTGTCTTGCTATCCCATGTTTGACTTCGGGTTTTTCCTGGAGCGGTGCCATCTCACATCTTCTTTTTCTGTAGTGGGGAATACTAGGAGCAAACATTAGCAACGCATTCGAACCAAGTACAATTGTGCCCGCAATTGCCTTCTTTGCATCTCTTGGTGGATGGGTTTACTTGATGTACATGTATTGGTTGAAGCTCAACATGTTTCAATTCCTGTATTATGGAGGTCTGCTGGGACTTGCTACATTTGTTGTTGGAAGGAGAGCACTTGTTGATAGGGCGCAATTGCGTCTCAAGAAGGGTTATTGAGTGGCAAGAGCTGTTGAGCTGTTTGTATATAGAGAGGGTGAGCAGAATAATAATCAAGATGCAAATCACATGAAGAGATTATTTGGTGAGGGCCATGTTGTCAACTTTCGGTTGTCTCTTTTTGCGCCAAACCAGATGAAATGAAACTGTCATCGCAGTTGGTCTTGGCAAAACGGCCGTGGTGATTCGTATTCGGTTTCCGTTCTAAGTCATGTATATCCTTCAGGTGCTGCACGAGAAGTGAGCGTGGTTCAGCGGAAAACGAAGATGGAGCTGAGATGCAATTTTGGAACAACGGGTTGAATCGTGAAAAATCTTGTCTTCTGGCTCGTTGAATTGTGAATCAGAGACGGACAGCAAAAAAAGGCTTCAGGCGAGGTTGGCGGATGCCTCTCCTGGTCTCCTTCGAACTCACTTTAAGAAGTACCGCTGTCAATATTTCCTCACGTTTGCCAGTCCTCTCGTACGTGGTGGATGTGTTTTTACTTTCTCGATGTCCATTGGTTGAAACTCAGCATGTTTCAATCCTATATTGTAGAGATCTGTTGGGACGTGCTACGTAATGTTGGACATAGAGCTCTTGTCGCTAGGGTGCAATTGCGTCTCTGTAGGGGTTTTGAGTGAATGGGGAGGCAAGTATTGTTTTGTATAGAAATAGAGAGCGTTCAGGAATAATCAGAAATGAGCATGATTAATGGCTTGACGTTAAGACCATCGTGGAAGGATAAGGTTTCCTTTTTTTCGCCAAATCAAATTGAACATTGCGTGTACAAAAGAGACACAGTATCTACTTGGATAGATGTATTCAAATCAAACCTTTCGTACTTCTTAACAAGTACAAATCACAGGGACACGAAGTAAGGAAAAAGGAATGAGGAAACTGAATGTATGAGCCGGAAAACTTGGCGCATGAACGTTCTGAACGTTCTTTGCTTCGTTCTTTAGACAGCAGCGGTAGTATCTCCATGCTGGCTACCACCAATTCTCGATGGTCGAGCACTACCAAATCCCGAAGGATGTGGATAGTCTTCTGAATGCACTTCAGTTGCTGTCTTGATTGTAGTACCAAATTGTAAATTCGCAGCTGCACGTAACGACATGGTGAGTACAGTCACAGGTGCATCAAATAGTACTGGTGCCGTTGTGCTTTGAAGAATGAGAAAAAAAATTGACAGTAAGCCGATCTATACTGATCTCACATCAAGTTCCCAACAATTGTCTTACAAGATGATCAAAAACTTGAGCAAAAGATCTAGTGAGAGACTCGTCCAAATACAAAAATACACGACCAAGAATTTGAATGGTGTTGCTTGGACCACGGATGGTCTTTTGGAGAGGGCCGACGATGTGAATGGTGGTGGTGTGTTCCGGGATAGTGCTGGCAGCATGGCTTGGTGGAGGGATTGCTTGTGCGTGAGGACTTTGCGGATGAGATTATAGTCGCACGCCACAGCAAGGGCTTCTGTTGTGAAGATCTACGAGGAAATACGGGGGGTTGAGTTGTTGAAGAGTAGTTGGTATAAGGTATTTTGAGAATTAGAGAGAGGAGTGAGAGTTCATACCATTGCAACTAATGAGAAAGTCGTGGATGTTAGTTGTTTGGTGGCATCGGTTGATTCGAAACCCTTGATTTTCTACTTACAGATAAGTGGCTCGAAAATCGTATAAAACATGGGATCGACAAAGAGAGGTATTGGTAGATTAATCTAATCAAGACAACAAACAGATTTATGTACCTTAGGCTTCGAATCACCACAAAGAGTGTTCTGTCACATCGGTACTTACGTATGTCTTGATCAACAACCAGTATGGAACCATGACTAAAACAGGCAAAGAATACAGCACAAGACCAACTCGATTGAAAACTTCAACTTTTGGTGCCAATGAGGACGATGAAACGATGAATCGGATTAGTGAGCTGTGGTTTAAGATCGTGAGTCCAAACTGTTTTTGAGACAATAAAGGAAAGATGATATGAGACAAAATACGATGTAACGACTAGAATCGACTCGCCAAGTGGAAAGAAGTTAGAAGTACCTGCCCCATATTTGCTTACCAAAATGAGAAAGTACATCACAACGGAAACGGACGTCGCAGCTTTGGAGATGTAGCCAATCTCTGTTCTGTATCCAGTTAAGATGGTGATATCTAGGAGGTCATTGAATGAGCCACCAGAAAACCAAAAAGAGTAGTTGCATGCTCGCGTATCGGGCACTTACCGATTGAGGCCAACAACATAACTAGCGCTAACGTTTTCTGCCTTTCAGCGTCACTTAGAAACATTTTTGATGGATTTGGGAGACCGTGGTTGAACAGAGCTACGAGAAAGAGAATAAAGCAAGGCTTGATTAGATAAGTTGTTGATGTGCGTCACCGGTCTTAAGATAACACACTCTGTAAGTTAATGACAACGTTGGCGCCCAAGATTAGACTACCAGCAATCTAAGGTTGAAGCGAAGGAACTGTTCATCTCATGATCGGAGACACCGCGCATATTTTGTGCTTAATGGTAAATCAGAATGTTTACACACAAACATACCATTGGAATAGCGATTGATGTTATGTCAGCCATGCTGTCTTGTGTAGAGGTTCTGAGCAGTGGGATCGGACCGTCTTGTTCAATTTAGAAATCGAGAAATCTGTTTGACGGTAACAAACGTTTAGAATTGTATTCGGGACTTGTTCCTGCCAATCATAACAAGGGAATTGGGGATGTGGACGAGGGCAAAAGAACCTGAAATTTTCGTAACGGAGATTTTGGAAATTGTTGGAGTTTTGATATTGACAAGTGCTTGCTAATCAAATAACTTCGTGTAGGACTCTCCGCTGACTTTGACGGAACTTCTCAAACTGGGTTTCCACCGAATTCAGGTCATCAGCAATTGGGTACTGCAAGCATATGAGAACTTTTTTCGTGTGAGATGTCTAGTATGAGCACTTCTGCGTACGTTTGTCACTTTGATTCGCAGTTCGACATTTTCTCCACAAAGAGTCACTGCATCAGTATACTCAGAACAGAGTGAGCATGAGCAGCATCAATGGCGCGTAACTTGGGTCCTGAAACAGGTACATTGTCCTTCAAGTCACGTAAACTGTCCTGGAGCCTCGTCTTGGATTCTTGAGTCTTGAATGTTTTGAAGGCGGGTCAATGGTCGAAGGTCGAAGTAAAACTTGCTACGATGGACAGAAGCCACGACCACAAATGAATTTTCTTCTCGGTCTGTGTATGCTTGACTTTAGTATTCTCATCACAACCTTCAACTCACCCAAAATGGACGCAATGACAGAGAAGGGACTCTCGTTGCCTATTGAAATAATGGAAAAGATACTTGAGTAGGTAGAAATTGATGGATTTATGGATGCAAAGAGTCTTGCTCAGGTGGCTCTGGCATCAAAACATTGGAACGAAAATTAAAGTCGTTCTTATTGCTTTTGATTTAGCAGTGAGGTTGTTACCGTGCGCCCATGCTACCGTTAAGTGATTAGGCCCTTCGAAGACTGTGCCATCAATCGCCTCTCAGTCTCATGACGACGTTTGTGACGTTTGCTACCATAATTTAGACATGTTTCTCGCCAACTCAAAGGGACTCGGTCAAGATGCTTTAGAGCATGTCAAGACACTGGAAATTCGCGGAATACCTGCTTACCGTCTTACCGTGCTAATACTCTGAACTGTGACTGGTACGTTGAAAGAGTCGCGTGTACTTCACTGTGGGTTGTATTGACAGATACTTAGTGATTCAAAACTATAAGTCTGCTTACAGTAATTGACCTCTCTGTCTCAATGAGCGACGTATCTCTCTCCTTATAGAACGTGGCATTAGTGTACGCCACGTCACAATGAATGACTACATCGTCGACATGTTGAAACACGCTTGAGGTCTCAAGAGTATTGCCCTAACTCTCCAAATGGATGCAGGCGAACCTCTAGATGACGGAGCCGCCCGTTTATTTGCCACTAGGAACCCGGACTGCCAACTTGCTATCTTCCTCACTTACACGCTAGCATCAGCTACAATGTTGTCGGCCATCCGGTATACAAAAGTAGACAGCTGCCGCGCCGCATATGCTCCGGATCTCCAACCAGCTTTACTGGCTCCACGGGCTTCGAGTATTGAAACTCTGAAATCTTTCTCTGTAGTTGGTAGTGAGGATGATGTACACTTCTCTGCAGATTATTGGGACTTGTCACAGAGTACGTCAATCTTAAAACTATGAAACTTTCTATCGACGGTGCTTCTTTGGAAGATAGTAGGGCCGTTATCTCTTTAACGTCACCAGCAGCCAAATCTAAACTTGAATCTTTGGCATTTGAGAGTATTGAGGCTACAGATCGCCGTGCAACGGTCACCACCAAAGTCATTGAACGCCATGCGTCAACACTTCGTAAATTAGAAGTAAATTCCCATATTGTATTCAGTCCGCTACCGACATTTACAATCCCGAATGTTCAAGACTTGACGGTACCACCCGATAAATCACAGGCTCTCCATATATTATCTAGATACGGTAGCCAGATCAGGGATCTCTATATGCCCAAGCGGGAGCACGGTAACTCTCACAATTTGGAAGTATTAGTAGATTATTGTACAAATCTGGTATCCGTCAATCTTCCGCTGCTCGCTGATCAGCGCAGTATCGATCTTATAGCTACGAGACTCGGCAAGCTTCAGTATGTTGCCTGTAGTGGTTTGTACATTTCGAATGAATTGGCAAACCGTATTGCCAGTACACTACTTTAAACAAATAAGATAACTCTATGTAGAGAGATATTGGGACATTGATCTGTTCAGAGACAGTGCAATTTGCCCCAATCGAGAAATAAAAATAAACATAGAAGGAGTGCGAAATGTTAACGATTACCAAGCTTAGTGCGCCAATAGAAATTGTAGAATGAAAATGCTCCTTCAGAGCTTTGGGTCGCCAGAATACGGTTGTTGGATGTTGTATGTCTGGAAAAAGGTTCCTGCTAAACGACAGACAGGAGCGAAAGATTCACG